AAACATCTTTTTGTCGTGTAGGAAAGAAATGGATCAAAAAGGCAGGTCCAGAAAAATAGAAGTACGCTAGAGAAGAATGTTAGTCTGAGTGTTCTCCAGCAATACTTTTCTGGTAGTCTGAAGGATGCTGCAAAACACATTGGTGGTTAGATTCCCACATTATCTATACTAATTTCTGTGTATTCATTGATCTGGCCTATTTATTTTGGGTTAAGATGACTGGTGTTAGTTTTTATTAGATTTGCACTTGTTGGGGTTATCGGTTAATCTTAACCATCATTTGAGCTGTATACCTTCTGAAAGCTATTATGAATTTCATTTTTCTTCTGTAGTTACTACTTTGTATGGAAAACAATGAATGCATTTCACTCATTATCTTATGGTGGAACTGTTTAAATGGTGCCGATTGCATGTTACGACTTTGAATTTTAAGCAATACTCAATTGTTAATTAATATATTGAAATATACAAGAGAGGTGTTTACAAAGTGCGACTTGCGGTATCCTAACTTCAAAGCCAAGTGTAATTCAATAACATCATCGTTTGTAACAATTTAACTTGATAGAGTATTACATTACATCTGTTATATCTTAAATAAAGAATGCCATTTGGTTGTCCAAAAAAGATGTTCAATATTTCTAAAAGGAAATTCTTGTTAATTGAAACAAGTATGTTCTTGACAAATATTTCTTCTTTGACCAGTTTGCCCAACAACTCTGAAAAGGATATGCAGGCAACATGGAATTTCAAGGTGGCCATCACGCAAGATTAATAAAGTGAATCGATCATTGAAGAAGATACAGACTGTGCTCAACTCTGTCCAGGGAGTGGAAGGAGGGTTGAAGTTTGATCCCTCTGTGGGGGCATTTGTAGCAGGAGGGTCAATCATCCAGGAAATTGATGCACACAAGAGTCTTATGTTTCCTGAGAAAAATACTATAAAAGACTGTGCGCCTGATACACTAGAGGCAGTCTCAGTACCAACTGCACCTTGTAGTGAAGATGAGAATTTTTCAATTAAGTTGGAGGGAAAATTGAAGAACGCAGTTGATTGTAGTGAAGATTCAAAATCAATGGCAATGGATGATGGTTCGGGCCAGACAGCAAGCCTTTGCACCAAGGTGCAAGATTGTGCTGAACAAGCTTGTTTGGGTTCTTTTCTTGCAAAAGAACGGGATGAAAGGATTCCAAACAAGGGTGGTTTGAGAGTAGAAAAATTTAAACACAATATCGTTGGCCCGAGTTCACGTTACTTGATTGGTGATGAGATGGACATCGGTGTGGATGGGGATGATGGGGTTGTTGAACCTAACCACCCTACTTCCTCAAGCTTGACAGACTCATCTAATGGCTCTGGTTCAATGATGCATAGCAATTCATCAGGTTCTGAGAGTTTCCAGAACCAGAACCAGTCCAAAGTCAAATCAACCATTGTTGATAGCGGGTCAATACTAATTGTCAAAGCCACCTACGGAGAAGACACAATTCGTTTCAAGTTTGATCCATCTGCAGGTTGTTTCAGGCTATATGAAGAAGTTGCAACAAGATTCAAACTACAAAATGGGTCATTCCAGCTCAAATATCTAGATGATGAAGAGGAATGGGTGATGTTGGTGAATGACGCTGATTTGCAAGAGTGTATAGAAATATTGGATGATATTGGCACACGTAGCGTGAGGTTTCTTGTTCGTGATATGCCTTGCGTTTTAGGCAGTTCTGGCAGTAGCAATGGCTACTTGGGAGGCAGCTTATAGCATCTGGCGGGTGACTTCGATGTGAAAATTCAAGTCATGCTTTGACAACATGTTAATTTTCACAATCTTCTCAAGGTCTGCAGCTGGAGGAGCTTGAATCGACTTGTGCCAAGTGTATTGCCTAATTATCATGAGCTTTTTGGAAGAAACAAAAATGCGGTTCATAAGGGGGGTATTTGCATGTTAAATACATAATTCTGTATATATTGAACACGTAGCAGCAGCATAGAAATTTTTAGTGGTAGTAGTAGTAGTCAGGACTTCGATAAATAGTTCTGAGATGTTGTAATTGTATAGATATAATATACGTAGATAGTGTCTAGACTCTAGATGGATTGGTTGATTCTTTTGGGTGATTGCATCTTTTTTTCCATTTCAAATAAAAAGATGAATATGGTAAAGAAGTTTCGTCGCAAAGGTGTGGTGCTGCAGACACGCGCAGTCAACACAATATTATTGGTCTTCAAACACGCTCGCCACGCCAACAGTAACCCACGTTTAAAAGGTTCGAGTATGGAGATTTACTTGAGAAGATTTTAATTTCTTACATTCATTTACTTAAAATAAATTCAGAGAAAAGTGATTTATACTTCAAGTTTTTATTTCAAAACAATTCTTTTAGTAATTTTAATGTTTGATAAGTATTTACTAACTTTATTTTTTTGTTTAATTAATTTAAATATCAAAACTATTTAAGTTAAAGCTACCTATGTCACGAAGTATTGATATCACAATACTCTAATTTTAAAAGTAGATTTATGATAAATCTTCAATCAGAGACAAATTACAATTTTGCTTGAGTTCCAATAATCTTGACGAGGTTCTGTGCAACATTTCAAATTCAATTATGTCAGATAATAATCGGCCGAAATTATAGGCACATGATGGTCTTAATAAAAGAACTTTTAATTCTTTTGTTTTTATTTTGAACTCCCTGTTTCACGAGAATAATATCTATAGACATATTCCTTTTTAGAATGTAATCTAAAAGTATAATATTATATTTAGAAATAAATCTTCCTAGACACAATAAAATGAATAAATCTTTCTATATTTTGATATACTGATTGTAAAATCTAGTACGATAGTGACTGTAAAGTCTAGCATGTTGAAAAATAGAATGCAGATTGGTTCTTGACTTTGAGATATTACAATTAAAAAAAACATAACTCATAAAATTACAATATTATATATTAAAACAAACATTCCTTTTCTGAAAAATATAAAAAAAAGTTAAATTAATCGATAGGTTCTTGAATTATCTTAAAAAATAATAATTAAGTTTTCAAACCAAAATATATAACTAAGTACTTGATTTTAGATGAAATTTTTTGAAATTCAAGAAATTTAAAATTTTTAAAATTTGAATTACTTTTTTTTTAATTATTTTAAAATATGTTGTTAGGATATGTTTATTCAAATTTCTTAAATTTTAAATTCTTTTGAGTATGGTAATTTGAATTTTGAATTGAATAAAATTGATTATATATATATATGTTAAACTTTTAAGATTAAATTTTATAAATTTAAATATTAGCAAACTTTAAATATTTAATAATTTTAAAAATAATTTTAAATATT